CCTCCCTCCCTCCCTCCCTCCCTCCCTTCCTTCCTTCCTTCCCCCCCTCCTCTCTTTCTTTTACTTAAGTCTTGGCTTCAAGAGTAGAACCCAATGATTCATCTCTTATATATGATAACCAGTGCTCATCCAAAAAAGTCCCCTCCCTAATGCCCATCACCTGTTTAACTCATCTACCACCCACCTCCCCTCCAGCAACCATTAGTTTGTTCTCTATGCAAATAAGAAATGAATGTAAGAATAAAAATTCAGATAATCAATAAAAACATTCAATTAGTTTACAAAAAATGACCAGAGTCTTTGGACAGAAAAGTTTTTAAATCACATATTTTACCAAAAGAACAAAGGAAAAAAAGAGATTTTGATTTCTAATGCAATCAAATGAAAATGAAACAGGGCAGACATTACAGTTTGTATGAGACATTTCCAATTTTAAGTGTATTCAAAGAATATTTTGTGGTAAAACATTTATTGAAATATTGTTATGCAAAAATTACCTAAATACAACGTATGAATATGAAATTAAATCAATAGCAAAAGAATCACCTGTTTCCACAAATTGAAAGAACTTGAACATTTAAAAAAATAAAAATAAAAAAGCAATCAGTGTGAGGGTTAACCATCGTTCACAATGCTTTATTTTTAAAGATTGTTTTGGCTACATTGCATCCTTTTTCATATGCGTTTAGGATCAGCTCATCCACTTATGAAAAAAAGCAGTTGGAATTTTGATGTGGATTACTGTAGATCTGCAAAGCCAGTTATTTGGGGAGCCTTGCCATCTTAACAAGATTAAACTCTACCAATTCATAACCATGGAAGCTCTTTCCACTTATCTTGATTACTTTTAATTTCTTTCAACGTTTTGTATACAAGTCTTGCTCTTCTTAGGTTAATTTTATTTTTGAGATTTCTTTAAACATGTAGAACGAAAAAAATCTTCCATTAGTTCACCAGAGGCTCTGTGTATGTTGAGCACGCTATCAGTGCTTATTGGGTAGTTTAAAATTGTTCCTTAGCCTGCACATCCTCTTTTATTTATTTATTTATTTTTTAAGAGTTAAGGTTATTAGGATGTGAGAACGTAGGTCCTTCTCAGGTCTTTCCTGAGCACATGTATTAACTTCTAGATTTATAAGAAAATGTTCAAGCTTTTCAAAGCCCTTACAGCCATCTCATTCCCCAGCCTTTCCTCCAAGCTTTATGTTTAAGCTATGGTTTGCCTCAACTCTTATTTATCTCTTCAGCTGTAAATATTTTTTAAAAAAATTTTTAATGTTTTATTTATTTCTGAGTGAGATAGAGGGACAGTGTGAGCAGGGGAGAGAGAGAGGGAGACACAGAATCTGAAGCACGGTCCAGGCTCTGAGCTGTCAGCACACAGCCTGATGCGGGGGTCGAGCCCACGGACCGTGAGATCATGACCTGAGCCGAAGTCGGACGCTTAACCCACTGAGCCACGCAGGCGCCCCATTCAGCTGTAAATATTTTTGATAAATTCCCTTAGACATACCAATAGGCTTTAGAAATAAGCCAGTCAGTTCCAGTAAGTGAAATAAAGACAAACATTTGTGCTGACTTCCTAGGGAGTAATCAGGTTGGGACAGATAATGATAATTCTTTGTGAATGAAGTCCATTCTGCTCTTTCTGGCACTAAGAACCTCAAGACTTTGGTTAATTTAAAGGTGTCAAAAGTTGATTCTGACAACTTCTGCTCATTTTTAAAAATTGCCCTTTAGGAAGGGCAGAATTTTCAATTCCTTATTCTGTCATTTCTGTTGACGTGCTGACATCACTATATACTAATTTTTATTAAAAAGAGCCTGTATCCTTTGATAAAGGTATTTAATTAACAAGTGATAATATTATTATTTTTGTTAATTGATGAAAACTTTCTTTTTGACAGTCTCATGTATACTTAGCTATTCTGATAAGATTTATAAATGTGTTTGTCCAATCTCTATTTATTCACCAAACATTAATTGAATGCATGTTATCTGTGAGGCACATGTCTTACCAGAGACAGGGTATATAGTTAAGTAACCTAAAGTCCAATGGGATAAGCAAGTATCTAAATAGCATGATCATTTATGCATTTTTTGCCACTAAATATTGTTATTATATTTTTTTAATCTGAATAAATTTACCCATTGACTATGTCATTCAAATAAAATAACAAGATTAATTTAGCACCTGGGTATTTCTAATGTTGAAAACATAGTTCTATTAGGGTATAGAACAAGCATTCTTAAAACCAGACATTCTCCTTCAGTTTGTTTAACTTGGACCAGGGACCTCCTAGCCTGAATGACATGCTTCATTCCAACTTTTAAACTGTCGACTGAGTTAAGATGTGTTGATGAATATTAATTTCTTTCACTAAAAGCTCTGACACTGAGACATTCCTGTTGTCTGCTTGTTCCATCAAATAATGAAAGGTCTTGGTGATTTCCTCCAAAGTGTAGATGTTGGCACCTGGAGCTGAAGGGCATATTTCAGAAAACCTGTGCTATAAACTACTCTGTTTTGCTATTTCTCGATGGCCTCGAAGGTGCCTTTACTCTATTTCTGCTGCACGCATTTGATACTGTAGACCCCTTTTGAGACTGTCCCAGGGATTATTTATAATGTACTGATGTTACCTTATTAGTACCTGCTATTTCTGCACAGAAGCATAGGGTTTGTTGACACTTGTTTTACTGCTGAAACTTTATTTTTGGTGTCTGGTAGACCACTATGGAGTTTCAGTACTGAAATGTTGTGGCAAACTGAATGAAAAGTCATCCCATGTTCATTTCCCTTTAGGTTCCAAGGGTTTAAATAAGCACCTGAATAAGCTTCAGAACTTGACAGATAATGCAATTTCACAAAGTTATTGCATTCCTGTTTCAATTGGCACTTCTAATACTCTCACAAACAGTTTGTGGGGTTGGTAATGTTCCTTTGCAGGAGTATTTCAAAGATAGGTCCAAATCTACAGCATGAATGTAAATTTATACAAAGGAGAAATATTAAAGCAATTTATTATTAATTTTGGAACAGTGTACTTTTGGCAGTGATGAGTAATTTCCGAAGCTGGCTTTCTTGTGATCTAGTGACCTACACACAGAAACAACGTAACACGGTGGAAAACTTCACTCTGCCTGCTTTACGGGCAGTGCCTTTTTCTTCAATTTCTTCATGAAGAGCTCCAAACTAAGGCACTCTGGGCAGGCCATGGTTCATTTTTTTCTCTGCCATTAGATGTTTCTGTGCCATCTCTTTTCTAGCTTGGGATGATCTAAGCATTTTTAAATGAATGTATACAAATGAATTTTAATTTAAAATACATCACAGGAGACAAACTTTAACAGAATTGTATTTCCATTCTTTGAGGGGCCAGTTGTGCTTTTTAATTAAAACTTTTCCCTTATAAAATTATAACCAAGCCTGCTTTATAGTTTCATTTTGCTTTGGTTATAATATAAGCTATAAAACATAAAGGCTGAAGCTATATACAAAATAAATGGAAACTTTTGTAAAACCTAGGGTGAGAAGGTGACATTTTTTTACGTGTGTGTGTGCATATATATATATATATATCCACACATATATAGTATACATATTACTCATCAGTATTTATATGCATTTACTGATTGCATATGCATATATAAATATGTATATATACATACATATATGAATATATATTGTATATCATTATGTATATATATGTTCATGTGTATGTGTGAATATATACATTTATATAGACACATAAATACATGAAATCGCTAAAATTCAGGAAAAACTAAGTAGAATGCAATTCATCTCATTCATTCACTTATGCAATACAAAATGGCCTATTAAAATATGATCTTCCTTTCAGGTTATTTACACTATAGGGGAGTTAAAGACAAATAAATAGGCCATTTCAATAGCCCGTGAAAAATACTGATAGAGCAAGTAAAAAGTATTAGAAGAGGAATCTAAATCACTTGAGAAGGCACCAAAGACTTCCTTGAGGAAGGAGTATCTGCTGCTACCTGCAAAATTGAATTGTCCTTAGCTAGACAAAGGAAGTGAGGGATGAGGCGAAGGTGAGGAAGCAAAGCAGAGCAGAAGGGAAAGTCTATCTGAGGGCCAAGATAGAAGAGAACGAATAGCCAGAAGAAGCAGAAGGAGGGTGTAGAAAGTGGTACAGCTGGAGACAAAGGCAAGATGTACATTATGAAGGCTCTCATAACTGTGTTAATGAGTTTTAAGTAGGAGAAGGAGATGGTCACTTTTGAGCATATGGCAAAGAGATACCCAATGATGATAATGGAAATCCTAGTATAAAATAGCCATCAAGAAATTTAAAATCATGTGATTATATCTAATAGTTCTGAAACTTTTTTGTCAAGTCTCCAGATTTGTAATATTTAGATATATATATGGCTGATCTTGTTTTATCCTGTAAATCTATGTGATATGTCATAGTGAAGATCACTTTAAATTCCTGGTTGATTTCACTATAGATGATTTGTTACTGTTATAGACAGTAACAATATGTAGTTCTCTCTTTAATTGATTCTTCTCTCAGTTTAATATGAATAGCAGTTAGGCAAACTACTTAATAGTAAGTTGTCATAGAGAAGATAACAGAAATTGTAGACATACCAAAGTCCATTTAAGGATAAAAATTCAAGTCCTGTGTATTTTGGGTATCAATAAAACAAGAAAGCTTACTGTGGGACTTTTTGAATCCCTTTACAAAAAAATACCAAGGAAAAAAGATTTTCATATTATAAACATCATCAAGCCCCAGGGTAAGAGGTGGGGGGAATTGAGGAGAAACCAGGATTACACATGTGATAACATTTGAGGGAAGTTTCCAAAGTTGTTGATGGGTCAGAATACCTGCAACTGGATTCACTTTTTAGTCACTTCTTTGAGTTATATCTGACTCTTGAAGCTCATTTTACAATGCTCTCATATCTCCCTGAAAGCATTATATATGAACTTATGAATTCATTAGCCTGAATTAGTTTGTCAGCCTACTTGACTGTTTTCCAAGAGATAGCAGGGTTGAGAGGAAATAAGAATCAGACATATTCTATATGATAAAAGCAGATGTAGGAAACTTGGAGATTTCAACAGGCAGGTTCAAAAAGAGAACAATAACAGCAGTCTCACTACCAGGGGATGAGAAGAAGGAACCAGGTTTTTAAAAATTAGAAGTGTATTGGGGCACTTAGGTGGCTCAGTCAGTTAAGCATATGACTTTGGCTCAAGTCATAATCTCATAGTTTGTAAGTTTGAGCCTCACATGAGGCTCTCTGCTCTCAGCACGGAGCCTGCTTCAGATCCTCTGTTTCCCTCTCTCTGTCTCTCCCCTATTCCTCTCTCTATCTCTCAAAAATAAATAAAAGCATTTTAAAAATAGAAATGTATTCAAGAGCAATTAAGGAAAAACTTTGATCTGGAAACAGCTAATTGCAAACTGGGTCTAAGTCCAAATTTAATCAACAAAATGTTAACACAATTACAGCTATCTGGACAGTCCCTTAGAATTAGCTGTAATGAGATGAGCTTTGTAATTAAAAGTCTATAGAAGCATTGATTACCTGACTACAGAGCAATTTTGCCCCCTTGAAGAAGAAAGCACACAAAGCTCTGGGCCTATCACACACTTATACCGGCTTCTGACTGCTTTGCTACCTGAGTAACATGAAGAAGTCAATAGCCAGGGTGCCTGGATGGCTCATCAGCTAAGCATCTGATTTCAGCCCACATCATGATATCACTGTTCAT